AACAGAAATCACATCAGTTGAGGACTTTCAACAGCAGCAACAACTAAAATGGATAGCAAAGATCATCCTTCTTTGAACCTTGTGAACTGGTGCTACTGAATCACAAAGAATGCCAAATAACAGAAATCACATCAGTTGAGGAACTTTCAACAGCAGCAACAACTTAAATGGATAGCAAAGATCATCCTTCTTTGAACCTTGTGAACTGGTGCTACTGAATCACAAAGAATGCCAAATAACAGAAAATCACATCAGTTGAGGACTTTCAACAGCAGCAACAACTAAAATGGATAGCAAAGAATCATCCTCACATCAGTTGAACTTTCAACACAGAACTGGATGCTACAGAATCACAAAAGAATGCCAAATAACAGAAATCACATCAGTTGAGGACTTTCAACAGCAGCAACAACTAAAATGGATAGCAAAGATCATCCTTCTTTGAACCTTGTGCTTTTATCTTCATTATTTTCACTTTTGCCTACCTTCACTTTCATTCATATCACACATCTCATTCAGAAAGCCTCTGTTTTTCAGTGATTATCAACATTTGTACTGGATCTAGTTTTGACTGAATGATATTAACACACAATTAAGTAATGAATTAAGCATGCTTTTTCAAATCTAATATCAATACACTTATCCTAGAGAATAAATAAATAAGAAAAAAAATATAACCCTACTCACCCTGCTATAGACCCTGGGGCAGGTCCAGTAAAATCAGACTGAGTCATAGTGCCAAAAAGACCCCCACTCACACGGTCATCTGTCAAAGTACCACTGGTTGTAAAGCTGTAATCAAACACTTTCTGGACAAGGTCAACTGGGATGCCCCCTCCTCGGTCACTCACCCTGAACAAAAAGAAAATAAACAATAACCTTAAGAAAAACAAAAAAAGTGTGTGTGTGTGAATTGTTCTTTTATTGTATTAACTGACTTACCGAATCACAAAATCTGTATCATTGTTAGCAATTGTAATAACAATATCTGGCAAATGATGCAGATTGTCCAAATGACTTTCAACTGTTGCCCTATGGGAAGAAAAATAAAAAAAATTTTGAAACATTGATAGTAATCTTGTAAAAAAAAAAAAAAAAAAAAAAAAAAAAAAAAAAAGAAAAGTACACAAATATCCTATTATTATTATTATTATTATTGTACTTGTATCTACTTAGTTAACACGACGATGGCTTTCTGCCAATACCTGATAAGTACTGGAATATTCTGCATTTTCATCACATGGAAAGAGGGGAAAAGGCATTAGTTGGTTTCAGCAGTAAAGGAAAGAAAGTTGGATTTAAACTTGCATGTTGTTTACATAAAATTCTAGCCCGAATGTCACAGTAGAAATAGAGCCATCATCCCTGACAATCTTTTATTGTTCAATTCTTATGATCCTTATCCTTCTTGTTTTTATCTGATACCAGTAGTACCCAGTGCAGTTTTTTACAACTGTAGACCATCTGTTTCAAAGTTTAATTTTTTGTGCATTCAGAGAAGTTCAATGTGCCCCAACACACTATTTAAAAAAAAAAAAAAATGAATACTTTTTTTTTTTTGGTATCAACCCATCCAAGGCAGTAAAGCCACTAAGACACAAGGGGTTACATGGTGTGGAAGAATTAGGAACAGAAACATTAATAATGAGTGGAAAGAGTAATCAGAACAGTAGATAGTGGTTGATATTGCATTTAAATTATTGCAGATTAAAGTTGGTTGGAAAGTATGGAGGCGAAAGGGAGTTCCACAAGAAAGGCAGTAAAGCCACTAAGACACAAGGGGTGACAGGGTTTGGAAGAATTAGGAACAGAAACATTAATAATGAGCAGGAAGAGGAAAGAGTAATCAGGAGGACAGTAGATAGCAATTGACATTGTGTTTAAATTTTTGCAGATTAAAGTTGGCTGGAAAGCATGGAGCCAGAAAGGAGTTCCACAAGTAAGAAAAGAAACTGTTAGCATAGAATTTACAGTTACATCTAGCCAATTCAACTGTAAATTGGGGAGATCTCGACACCAGTCTAGTACTGCTCTTAAATTTAAGAAGTCTAGGTACCATAGCGAAGAGCTCATCCAAACAATTACCTTGAAAGTATTTATGGAAAAGACACAGAGAGGCAACCTTACAGCGGTGGGAAAGCTACTGAAGTTGATATGCCAGATCAGGACCAATAATATTGCTGATTCAGGCTAAAATTGCCTTTTTTTCAAATTGAAACTGTCTGATCATTCTCCTCCAACTTCTATCATCAACAATCTATCATCTCCGCCTGAAAAATTACTCCTCTTTGGGACATTTTTCTTTTTCTGACCATTCTCTGGAAACCCTACAAAAGATTGTCCGTGAAAGTCCATCTAGATCATGAATTTATGGAATACTGAGGACCACTTGTCTGGCACTAATGAGTATTGTGACACTATTTAGCTATGGTAATTGGCTAATTAACCATAGAAATTAAAACAGAAAATACTTAAGGCGAAAAAGAGCTATCCCAAAAGATAAACTGATCGATGTTAAATAAAGATTTTATTTTATTTACAAAAAAGATACTTTTCATAAAAGACAGTAAACCCATGGAAAAAGCCATATGTGAGGTTTTGTCAGGTTGATTAATGTCTTGCCAAGGGAGATAGAAAGAAAGGCAAAAATTAAGATATCGGCCAGACCATGGCGGTCATAAAAATTTTGGCTTGAAATGATCACCGATACAGGCAGGGAGAATCAATGTTAATTATCTTTCCAAGATATTGTTTATTTTTTTTTTCTTAGCCACCGGCAAGGAAAAGCAATGTGGCAATTATAAAATTTTGGCATTTGTCTTGACATAGGTGAGAGGATTGTTATTTACCTTATCAACATGTCGCCTCAGATGCTGAAACGTTGAATAGCAATGTGGCGTTTGTAAAATTCTGGCATGAGACATAAAATAGAGTGGAGAATTAATATTTGGCGAGATAAAGAATTTAATCTCTTAACAAGCCAAGGGTTCCATTTTAAAGCTAACTTCACGAAGAGACCAGATGGCAAACTTTGACAGTGATTGATGGAGTCGGTAGAAAGTGCTGGCTAAGTGAATTCTGGGTGTCCAAAAGATATGATAAAAATTTAAGTGGCAATGTGGAATTCAAAAAATTTTGGCCAATGGAAAAAAAAAAAAGAGAATTTTGTAAACAAAAAATCTGGATTATAATTTTAAGCCACCTTAGCCACACCCGTTCAGCTGATATGCCATTGGTCGAGTGGTAGCAATGGTGATAGGCGGAGGTGAATGGATGAGAAGGACGGAGAAGTTATTAATGCCCACTGAAGGGTTTGATATGAGATATCAATGTGAGAGAGGAAGAGTTTAGCAAGACCTCTGACCTCCCCTCATGGATAAGGGAGAACCCCCGAAATGGAAGTGATTAATTTTCCAAAAATGGGAAGTAATCAATTTTCCTGGCCTGACAACAAAGAGATTTCTTGTTGGGAATCAAGATTTATCAAGAACCTCAGGCCGCGTCTGGCCCCACACCGGGTTTTGGTCAGTACCAATATAAATGAACATCCTTTGGAGTCACAGTTGAGACAGTCAGAGAGAGAGAGAGAGAGAGAGAGAGAGAGAGTCGAGTCAGTTCGAGTAGCAGGAACCAGAGTGTTGCCTTGCAGAAGCTGACTGAGAGATTCCACAACCTCCAAATTCGCCTATCCTACCAATAGCAAGTTATACTGACGAACGAAGCCAAGCCAGCACCTAAGAACTAAATCAGCTGACTTAAGACACCAACTTGCTTGAAACATAGAAGTGTCACATTTCATAGAAAACGGGCTGGGAGAAAAACACACTCCTGTATATAATAGAAGGATAAAGTTAATTTGTTATTTCTTAACATACTTAAACCTCTTGGATTTTTCTTTTATTTATTTTTTTTTCTTTGCGCTTGTGCGATACCACCTTCAGTCCAGACTCAGCCTACACTACGGCCCAACACCTGATTGATCTCATCTATTTAAGATTAAAGTCACAACGTGGGTAGGTTAGACTTGAGATCGAAGCAGTTACTACAGTAACCAGACATTGCAAGTGAGCTGGGAACGATAGAGCTGGTATTGAACCGGTACAGCTGGTGAAGCCGTTAACATCGACAACCAGAATTCAACCCTGGACGGGCCAGTGTTCCATATTGGTATCCTGACCAGAGGATTTCACTGAGTAGTGATGACCACCGATTGACCGGGTCACAAGCAGTGACAAAAAGTCAACCCGAAAATGCTGGTAGAAGAAACATTGCAGTTTCACATCACGACTAGGAGTTGACCACGGGCCAATGGCTGGGTGTCAGAGTATGCAACATTCAAAGTGGCTACAATCACATTTCTTTTCTATACTAATGCATGAAACAACATTTAGCAGGTTCATGTTTAAAATCCTGCATTCATTAAATTGCTGTCATGTCATTGGCTGATTAGAAATTTGTATAAAAGGGCACCGGTCCCCCTGAACCCAATTATAGGGTCAATGAGTGTATAAGTATTTTTTTTTTACTTACCTCATGGAATTTTTTAGAATCTCAACCAAAATATAGTCCAAAGGGGGTGCAATGTAAGGAAACGTCACATTCAAATGTCCATTCATTCGGACATTTGGAGCAGCACCATACTTTGCCAGACACACATTCCTACAGAAGTAAAAATTATGAAGATATTATAGATATATATATATATATATATATATTTTTATTTCTTTTTACAGATACAAATATTTAAGTAAATGCTCTGTTTATAATAATATTAACAACATTTACCGGCCTGAATGTGTGAGAAATTTTTCATAGAAAATATGCATCCTCCAACAGGAATCAAACCTGTATCCTATACGAAACTCTCATATAGCCTGACATGCTTTTACTGATTGAGCCACAGAGGAGCATTTCGGTTAGCAAGGTCGATTTTACTGTTAATACTGTTTATTATAAACAAAGCATTTACTTAAATATCAGTATCAATAAAAAGAACATATAAACATAAAAAATGTCTTAAAATAATTGTCGGACTTTGTCCATTTCATAATATATATGTGTGTGTGTGTGTGTGTGTGGTGGAAATAAACTCATGACTGAGTAAGAACACCTCTAAAATAATAATAATTCCCAAGCATTTTAGAGATGATATACGCATGCACACTCATGGCTGAAACCTGCTGAGGAGTGAATTGAACAATCAAAAGTCAATCTATGAAACTCTAGAGTCAAGGTATTGAATATAATGTAAATCAGCTAAGTGGTAAATTTTATTTGTAACATGCACATACACACACATATACACAAACAAAAAAAAAAAAAAAAAAAAAAAAACAAACTTTTATCAAAAAGCAATTAATGAAAAGGTGCTCAATTTTCACAAAAAAGAAATGTAGAACAATTTAAGACAAAATATAACTTTCCTTTAACTAGTTAAAATGTTACCAACAAATATTTAAATATATCATAATATAAATGTACTAATTACTTCATTTCTTAAGCTAAAATGATTTATTTCATATTTATATATAGTATATTTTATCTATTCTTTTTTTTCTACATAAATAATCATATAAACTGATAAATACAGGATAATTAAATATAGCAACAATTTTAGAAAAAAAATATCAAATTTATTTATCATAAATCATCTAGAAGTATTAGTATCAGCTATGATATCACAATTCACTCTGATTAATCAAGAAGTAGATTTTTATAATATATATCATTTTCTGGATAAAGTTAATACTTAAAGAAAATAAAATAGAAACGGCTTAAACATCCTAGAATTTTAATAATTTTATTTTAATTCTATTTTTCTCAACCCCTAAATATTTTCATAAATTATAATTTGCAATATCTATTTACTGTTTACTTTAGACATGCTTTTTTATTGTAACTTTCTTATACTTTCTTACATTAAATCATTATTTTGTTTTTTTACAGGTTATATATTTAACATTTTCTGATGTACAAATTTCATTGATTTGTCTAAATATTTATTTTTAATTTAAACTGTTAAATTTTCAAAAGAGTTTCAAATTAACTTATGTTTCTTACATGTTTTGTTTGGATACTTGATATCAGTCATTATATATATATATATATATATATATATATATATATATATATATATATATATATATATATATATATATTAGTTTGACTCTCCTGCCGCATTCGGGACGTTTGAGGGTCAAGCAGATCAGTTTCCAGGAAACCGACAGCCCGACAACAGCACATGAGATTTGATTATAGTGGTGAAGGCTTTGTGCAGGACCAACCACACTTTTTGAAGGGCCAAATACAGAGACCTGGTGCACTATGTGCCACAAGGTCCCCAAACGACCCTCCGCAGGTTTTCCTTCTCCTAAACCAGTTGCCATCTAAGGCTATAGAACCCAGTCTGTCCTGCTATTTTACCCATAGCTGGAGGGAGAAGAAGAGGATTCACACCTTTCCCAAGTGTATTAGCACATAAGTGAATGTAATGGATTCGAGTGGAATTCGAACTCTCCGATTCCTCAATCCAAACCGCTATCCATTACTCCACCGTGCCTCCTCATATATATATATATATATATATATATATATATATATAAAATGAAATGAACTAAGTCTGATAATTATTTTAATATATTTTCTGTTTATGCGTTATTTTTAGATACAAATATTTAAGTAAGTGCTCCCTTTCTATACCATTTAGAAAACGGTTTTTAAACAACAAATTTCGCATAATTTAAATTTGTTAAACAATTTCAATATATGACATCATTTGCTAACATTAAGATATGCTTTGAGGAGATATGATCATTAGAGAAAAATTAATTTTTTCATTTAAAAACTTGAAATTTGTTTAAAAACAATAACTTGACTTTGCTAACTAAACACTTCTTCCATAGCTAAATGGTATAGCACGTCAGGCTATATGATGGTTCCCTGTAGGATACAGATTCAATTCCTATTAAAGAACACATTTTCCATGAAATTTCTCAGACATTCAGACCAGTAAATATTTGTATCTATAAAAATAACTTATAAACAGAAAAAAAAAAAAAAAAAGGATATATATATATATATATATATATATATATATATATATATATATATATCTCTATCTCTGGTATGTTTGTCTAAAAATAAATACATCTAAATTCACCTTTATCCCTGCTGTGCACCAATGGCTTAGGGGTAAAATCTCCGACTGATACCAAACCAGTCAGGTTTTGATCCCAGCTTGAGGCATCAGATGTCTAGCCACACTGATGACCTGTCAAAAAGCGAAAGTCTGTCTGTGGATGACTATATATATATATATATATATATATATATATATATATATATATATATATAGTGTGTGTGGGAATCAAATATTTGTACACGTACAAATTTTTAATTTATTGTATTTCTAACTAATGAATAAACATATTTTTCATATAAGTAACTGTACACAGATGCATAATAAATAAATATGCATAGAAAACAGAAATAAATCCCATTTATGCATTTTAATGGGTGAAAAATGTATTCATACAACAGTAAAAAGGATACATACTCTTCATTTAATACTTTGTAGAATAGCCATTATTCATTTCTACAGCAACCAACCTCTTCTTGTAGTTCTCAATTAATGATTTTCAAATTTTAATTGGTATTTTGTTCTATTCTTCTTTCCATATGGTCTTCAGGTTCGGTATATTTGTTGAAGCTCTCGACTGCAATTGAATTTTCAATTAACGCTACAGATTGTGTTTATATCTGGCCATTTCAGGATATTTACATTATTTTCAGCAAGCAATTTCTTTGTAGATTTTGCAGTATGTTTAGGATCATTATCTTGGTTGGAAGATCCAATCAGGAGGAAGGTCAAGATTTTCAACCGAAATCATTAAATTTGCTTCCAAAATATTTTGATATGCTGTGCCATTCATTCTACCATCTATTACTGATATGTTGTCAGTACCTTTTGCAGAAAAAAACATCCCCAAACCATGATGCTGCCATCACCAAACTTCACTTTTGGAACTGTGTTTTGTTTGAAGCTATTTCCAAGCAACGACAAACGTGTAGTCACATGTGACATCACGAGCTGCAGTGCAATTTTTGCTCCCAGCATCTCGTATATATGAGTTTGTCATTGCTTGGAAATCTTCCATGTAAACATAAACAGACTATCATTATTGTTTTGTCTGTGTATTGTTTAATATATTGTAATGTAATTGTCATCTTTGATAATCGCTTATGTAAGCCGAAAGCTTAGATAGGATTAAAAAATATGTATCAATATTTTGATTCTCTTTCTTCTTTTAATGGATAATGTTATTAAGCTTATCAGATTATATGAAAAGAATTTACATAAAATAAATAGACAAAACTTGTCTATATTATTTAATGAAACATGCATCAATGAAAAAATGCTGCCTAAATTTCACACAATATATATATATATATATATATATATATATATATATATATATATATATATATATAAATTAAAAAAAGACCACTTTAAGGTTCCATATAATAAATTATTTCACCACAGCCCTCTGGATTTTATCTTATAACATCCCTACAAAAATAGCCATTTTGTTTCAACACTTCTGGTTTCTTGTCAAGTGATGGTGTTGATTGTAAAATAAAAAGATTTTAAAGAGTTCAAAACCAGCCACTACCCCCCCCACTAGAGAGTGGGATATTTTTACGTAAGATGTAATTGCCAATCAAATTAAATGTATATGATAATTCAAATAATGTGAGAATGGGCCCTAGATACAATTTATTAATGCTTTAAAATTAATACTAGTTTTTATAGGAAATCAGGATACCTAATTAATCTCCAATTTATTATGTAATTAAAAAATAAAAGTAAGGAACATTAAATTCTAAATATAATCATGCATCAAGTTTAGAAACTTACAAAATTATTCAAAGAAAAAAAAAAAACAGAGAAAATATGCCTAAATTTTCATATATTGTCCTTAGTAATATCTTAAGTTTTCTGTCTTAATCTGAGTGAAAGCAAGAGGTGCAATATATGGCTACAAAATTAGTTACATTGACAAGTTTGTGATTAGAGATTTAGTGAATAAGGAAGAAAGGTTTATATATATAATACAAATATAAAATTTGTCAGTTGATTGATTGTGTACATGTGAATAATGTATATTTATACAGCAAATATTCAACAAATTTGATTAAAAAAGAACAAACAATGTCTGTCTATCTAAATTTTCATTATATTTTTCCAATTTTTGAATAAGATGTTGTGTATTGTACTTGAAGCTGTGGATAAACTGTCCAAAGTTCATATTTTGTTATTTGTTCAAGTACTTTTGATAATCACAATCATTATCAAGAACCAATATGGTGTCTGTGTGGTAGTTAGAATTCTTTTCCCACATCCTAGTATTCTTTGGAACGATGGAAGTTTAAAATAGTCATGACATTATTTTTTACATAGCAGGGTGTCAAATCAATGAATGGACACAAGTGAAATTCACAGAAAAATCTTAGAAAATTCATAGATGTTCCTTGATCAAATTTATTGATAAATCTCAACTATTAAATCTTTTAATAGTTTTAATATCTCAAAATTTTACTGCATTTTTGGTATTTTGCTAAATAAGGTTTTCAACAAAATTTCGACATTCCTATCTTCA